CCACCTGTCCACCTGCAAATATTAATCTGAAACCACAAAAGAGTAAAGGATAAAGGTAATTCATCTGAGCAACAAGCATCATGGTTAATTGTGAGCATAATTAAACTTATACTAACCAACTTAAACCAAGGCACTGCAGAGTTATGTCCCATAGTTGCAAGACAATAGCAAGTGCCTATTGCAGCAACCTATTCTCATAGCTGTGACAATACAAAGAGAAAGGGGTGTTTAGCACAGAAAAGTCCCAGCCGACACTCAATTAAGTTTTTACATAGGTTGTGAGCAGATGTCTGATGTACCTTAGCAAGAGATAGTTGAAAACTAATTGAGCACCTTAATCACTATTTCCCTTTATACGCAGTCTGAGATTCACGCATGTCTACAATAACAATAAAAGCATTTCTGGGCTGCCCTGACTGCAGTGGTCCACAAGAATCTTGATTTCAAATGTGGCTACTTTCACTAAAGCTTATTTCTCATTCATCCACTTACTGTACACTGTGCTAAGAAAACCTGACACTAATGAAAGAAGTATTAACTTTTTCTTACATGCAAGACAATTTTTGAGAGTAAATATTTCAGAAGCTTATACTTGCTACAAGCAGAAAATAATAATAATAATAATAATAATAATAATAATAATAATAATAATAATAATAATAATAATAATGAAGAAGTCACAACTGTGTTTCACTTCTGTCTTATGAGCTTCCCAAAGAAACAGCCACATCACAATAACCCCACTCCAAACCTAACAAGGTGCCTAGCAAGCATGGAACTTACAGTTCAGGACTAACAGAGTTGTAAAAAAGAATTAAAATATTTAGCTGCATAGGCAAAGTAAAAACGTAGCTGCTCATAAAAGTTGAAAGAAAACTGCTTCATCTTGGATAGCCTGGGTGGTACTGGCTGAGCATATAATGAATGTTTCCTCTGCACCACTCAAAAATGGAGCCCTCCTGCTGCATTTTGCACCATTTTCTAGACCACCCACTCAGATGAGGATACACAAACCACATGTGCTAGGAATGTCTGCCCTGTGCCGAAAGCAGTATCAGCATTATGACCTTACTCCTTGCACAGTCAGGATTTTAACACAAACTTGCTTGTATTTTCAATTCCTTTGATTCTTTAACAGTTTGTCTGTAGTCACTGGTTTTTAGATGGCTAAAGATTTGAAAGAGGAATGTAATTGTAGGAAAACCCCAGCATTATCAGAGTAGAAATATTTTAAGCAAATATTTCTTGTCCTTCTCCTCCTGAAAAGAGATAGGCTTTATTTCTAGGTCTTGTTAAAAAGCTGTATCTGACACTTTCACAAACCCACTCTTTCCTAAACAGGACTCAGATGTTGCATTCTGACTCTCTGTGAGCAATGATAAAAGTTAATAATTTATTCTTTGCTGTGATGAGATGGGTGATGTCTACTTAGAGAAATTGCAGTTTTATAGCATCAGCTCTCTAAAGGAACATATGAAAATACATAATCCATTTGATGGAAGATTCAGGAAATGGTTACTTCCAGTCAGAATTATACTGAATAATAATGAAAATACATCTGCTGCATTCACAGGCTTACATTTGACTTCACTCAAATTTCAAGACTGGCAATATTAAAGTAAATGAAAAATGCAAGACTACCACTTTGCAGTACAATCAATTCTATGTTTTACCTCAGCCTGGCTGAGGTAAAACATAGAATGTAAGTCAGATAGAATACTGAAACAAATGTGAAACAGATATTAGCATCCCAAACAATAAAACACCTAAATTTTTTTATGTTGCTGCAATCTCCATCTCTGTCTCTACTCATCAACAACTGCAGATTTTACAGTAACAAACCAAGGCAGTTGTACTATTCCATCTCTTCTTTACACCTTTTTTTTCTTTCTCCCCACTCCACCCCACACCCCAGGGCTTTGTTCTCACTGTAGTTATACTTCCCTTTCCTCTCTAGTCACAGTATCATTTCTTGCTGCTCAATCAAATGCAAGGCTCTTAGAGTGAGTGTGCTTTGATGTTAATTTATCTGTCCAGACACAGAGCCAGCCTTGTAAATGTCATTGGTTTAGCAGCACTAATACACTGATTAACTTCCAAGCATGCACAAAAGCACTGCAGATATATGTGTTTTAGTCCCTGTCATCTGTTAGGAAGGCTTTTATGCCCAGCAGTAAGAATCCGTACAGTGTACAGAGTAGCCTCCTGGTGTACACTGCATTCTACTGTATACTGCTTGACAATTAAGAAAACTATTGAGGCTCATTAAAACACATGCCTCACACTTGTTAAACTTTGGAACATCTCTTATTTTGCTGCTTATTTCTGTAGTTCCTCCTAGCTCCTGCTGTGGGTGAAAACCTGACAAAATTTTCATCGTGATGCCTAATTTCTGTAAACCACAGGCCAATGAGCAAATGCAAAACAGACTCTGTAGACTGAAACAGGAGTTTACTAAATTATAGTTTGTCATCAAACTGCAAGTGGTAAAAGATGAGATATGGTGTATCCGAACAAATCAAATATCCTACCATCAGTGCAGTGTCTGGAGTAAGATAATGCATACAACAAAACCTAATGAATGAGGCAATTTTCACTTCAGGCAATTCTACAGTTTCCCCATCAATTTTGCAAACTAAGTGACAGGTCTTGGAACAAATGGGTCATTCAAGAGACCCCAAAACACTGGTACAGCTCCTAGGAAAGGAAGATCATACCCAGTAAGGACCAAGGACTCAAACTAGATTGTGAAAGTACTTTATTTCACTGTGAGAATGGGAAAGAAGAACAATGGGCCAGGCAAAACCCAAGAACTTGTAATTTCCTTCCCAGAGACTAAAAGAAATTTTAATAGAAATATACTGGGCTCTCCAAATGCGCTGTACTGTGTGCATTTTGTTTCTGAAATTGAGAGCATAGACTTTTCTAAAAACACCAAACCAATGAAGAGAGAGAGAAATGATCAACCATTTCTTACAGTCCAAAGGCTGAAGACTGAGCACAGATTTAGTTTTACCTTGGAAGACTCTCTTCACTTTAGTGTATGAGAGGAGGAAAGGAGGCCCCTTCCTCCTTTCTAGCTCTTTTTCTTTAGCATGGACTAAGATGGCCTTCAAATTTAGATGATACTGGAAGTTTTATAAAGCCTCTCAGCTGATCACAATTTGTAAAAAAAATTAATTTTTTTTTTTTTTAAGTTGTCTACCGAATTGGACATCCACTTTCTGAGGAGGAAAGTTTCTAGTGAGAAAACTGTCTTTGCTACTGGATACAACTACTGCTCTAGTAACAGTGACTCATGCTGAGAATTACTCTAGATATTGGAACTTACTGCTAAACTCTGTCTGGTCCAAATTCTCTTATATAACTGTTTTAAACAGCTTTATGCTAAGTAAGACTTCAAAACATTTGTTGCCAAAACACTTTAACCCATCCCAAAGATCAATGCTCATAGACATTAAAGACTTGGAAGGGTATCTTCTTGTTTTTCCTTTAAGAGAAACATGAATGTCTGAAATTAGGTGAACATAGTTTTATTTTGTTTCCATATACAAAATTAGATGAAAATAGCTAACTTTAAAATTTAGATCAAAACTTAGTCACTCTAATTCTATCAGAGTTTTGTGAACAAGTCAACGCACACCTTGACACCAACAGTCTATTTTCTCTCTCTCATTGAATTAGAAAATTTAAGAGTTTAAGGATCATCCACAGTTTGCATGAAATTCAGCACTGATTTGATACTGTAATTGATGTTATCTCTCTTTTATGCCTATTTATCTAGTTTTTCCTTTCCTCCACCCCTGTTCTCAGTGTACAATAAAGCTTATCTGGTATTTTAAGGGTAAAATGATTCATTTCACCATTTCTAAAAAAACAGTGCAATAGTTGTACTAGAAGTATCCCCTTCTGAAACTCAATGAGTCTTTACCACAAGACTTAGAAAAGTCCAAGTGGACAAATTTCCATATACATCTGGTATACCTAGAAGACAGGAAAGTTGAACACACATTTGTAGACCAAAGGTTTTTAAAGTTGCTTTTAGATTACCAAACATTTTTATATAAAACAATCAATAAAAATTGAAGTTTATCCCCTTTACATGCACCCCTTTTCCCTTCCCCATCGTCACCTGCCTTTTGTCAATAGTAAAGTTAACATTACACTCCCAGTCCTCCATCCCCTCCCCAATTGCACATTAAGACATGGACTTAAAAGAACAACAAAACGCTTCAAGTATGCTTCATGCCAATCATCAATAAGAGTCATAACATTACTGAAAAAGTACACTTATTCTTCAGAAGCCTAAGGAGGACTTCCTGCGGAGTATGATCAAACAACATTTTAAATAAGAAAAAAGCCCCCCAACCCAATATGTATCGTGCCCTTTCAAAAAGAGTAAAGTGTAAAATTTTCTTTGGACTTAAAGAAACAGTATTAAGATTTACCATCTGAATAAGAAATAACCCCAATAGTTTTTCAGTGCTGCACAAACTGTGCACATTAAACAGTAAGTCATAAAGATAGTACTGTTTAGCTCTACACATAGAGACTACATGTGGCATAATAAGCATACACATGACATACTGGCCAGTCTAGCAACAAGATACATTTATCAGTCTGGTAAACCTGAATAAACCTTTGCATCCAGAAGTAATTTTAAAATTATTATTTTCTCTTGTCCTTTAAGAATTTGAATTTTTCATATAAAGGCAATGATTTCATCAAGAAACCATCAGCAATATGAGAGCATGAAGCATTGATGTGAAACTGAGTATAAATCCTCTCATTTGATCAGGCATAAACAAGGATCCTGATTTCAAGAAATAATGGATGGTATGAAAGAATACTCATTTTTATAGACAAGAAATTCTTCTGGAAACACAATAAGGTTATCAACAGATACCAAAATCTGCAAAGTTTAAAAAGCATATGTGCATGTATGTGTGTATGTATACACATATACACAGGTATGGTACACGTGTATATATAAACACACATACAGATGATATCATACATGTATTTTATTTCATGTATTCATTTAAGTGTATAACAACATTTTTTCTTCTTTTCAAACAAAAGGTTTTAATTTAGCAGTTGTAAAAAAACCAACTAAATCAGAAAAAAATCCCCAAAACAAACTAAGCAGATCATTTACTATATGAACGAACAAAAGTGTTATGCAAAAAGTTTTATGGTAGAAGTGAGTCACACACAGCAGAAGAGTGTTGAAACTCAAAGTAATAAATAGCTCCAAATTAAGAATTTTCTACAACATGTTCTTTAAAGACAGGACCAGTACTTTTTCTTTTATCATGAGCTCCTGCAGAACACCTTCACTCTAATATATATTTAATTTTGCAACATTTAAATGGACACAAAAATGTAGACTGCAAGAGTTGCCAGATTCAGGACAGTATACATAGCATTTTTTGTTAAAAGTCTTATTGATTTATTCACTGAGGCTAGACAGCAAGTCATATGAACCTATTTGGTGCACTTTTTAACCAGTCAATATCAGTAAGTGGATAGAATCAAGGACTTGCAGTCCACCCTACTGTGGTAGACAGGAAATGAAATACAGGACCACTGCTTGGTCGCCACGTTTGTATCTTGTTTCCCAGAACTGCAGAGGTGGAATCAAGACTGTAGTGTTTTAATTGACTAAAGAAAGATAGCAAGAAGTGGCATTTCAATGTGAATAAGGTTACTAGGCTTGTGAAAGTACTGCATCAAAATAGCACACAAGGGACCCCACTACTTGCAATATCTGGTAGTGTCACTCAGTGACTCATTGACTTTAAGATACATGTATGCAATAATAAATAGATCAGTTATGTAGTAAGGCAGTGTGTTGAACATGCATTCATCTTGTGGACTTGAACACCACAGAGAGAGATACATGATATCATACACATTCATTAAGAACAAGTATTTTTGTTTGTTTTTCTGTGTTTGTTTTTCAAGGCTACCCAGGCAAACTCTTCCAGAGCATTTTCTTCTTGAGAAGAGTGGTCCTCTGAGTCTGGTCACTTTTGCTCTCCCTTATCAAGAGACTGGCTTTAAGGAAAAAAAAAAAGCTGAAGAGGTTTTTGGTTTTTTCCCCTCCATTTTGGTCGCATCATTCTGCATACATCATTTAAAGAACAGTTTTTGACACAGCCATATGCTGAATCCTCAGGAGGTTCCAGATGTTTCCAGATAACTCTGTAGTTTACGGACTGTGGTTTTGTCCAGTGAACAAAGATCAAAGTCAAAGGTTGTATTTGTGATATGAAAGTGTCCAGTTTCTTCTATAAGATTTACTATCTGAAAGAAAAGAAAAGATGCAATTGGAAATTCCAGCAGTTTTACACGCCTGCTGTTAGTATAAACAAGTACCATATGAAAGGCCTAACATGAGCCAAATTGCCCCAATACTTGCAGATTTAACCATTATCCTTATCATTCACTTCCTTTCTGACATGCATTATTGTTCAGATTATAGTATCTTGGTTTATTTTTAAGATCATCATCAACCATAATGTCAGCATACCTGTCTGCTGTTGCTGCAAACATTAGCACTGACAATATATTTTTCAAATGTTCAAAGAAAATCTGTTTATTTTCTAATTCAGTTTAAAAAATAAGGGAGGAAGGGGCAACATTATACCCTTAAGCTCAAACAAATAATTAAAAATCCCAGGTAGATCTCTGGAATATTTATTATGTGCATAGCTGCTAAGCAGGTTACATTAGGAAATAAATTACATAAACCTTTCTGCAAATGAGGAAAAGAAATAAATCCTTAGAGAGTCCAGTCCCTATAATTAAAAAAAAACCAAACCAAAAAAAACCCAAGAGATCTTACATGAGCTGTTAGTTCACATAGTAGTAGACACTTTTTGAGTAACACAGTTAAATCTTTTTTTTTGCCAAATAAACCATGGAAGGACTCCCAGCAAGGTCATAACATCACTTAGGTTGTGGGGTCTTCATCCTTAGAGATATTTCAGTCATTTGACATAGTCCCAGGCAATTGGCTCTACATGTCCTTGTGACCTCCAGAGATTCCTTCCAAACTTAACCATCCTACATTTCCATGAAATCAACAGTAGACACCTAACTTGTGCATTTCTGCAGTTGTAACATTTTTAGGCATTAAACTGTAGTCTTTATTTTTGAAGAGTGGTCATACTCAACACAATTGCTATAAAAATAACTTCAGATATTTCAAGTTCTGGGATGCATACCTACCTCAAAAAAAACCACATTGAGCATCTTGAAAAGCCAAAGCATTATTTGTCAGAGAGGGCTAACAAAGTGCCAACACATGGCTGCTATAAATCTCTCATGTGTGGTTTCATTCCAAGAGACAGACATGCCAAGGGCACACAGAAAAGCACTCCACCCTGCAGTGGCCTCTGGGTAGCTCATGGACTCAAATAACAACACTGCTCTTCTCAGTCCTTCCAACCACCCCTCGTGCAGCACTCAGGCTACACTCCAAATCCTGTCTGCAACCTCCAATTTGAAACCCATTTAGTTCTGGGGCTTCCACATACACCTCCACTGAAACACTACTGCGAGATACTCCTTGATTGTTTTGAGCTTTTTTACTCTGACTGCAATTCCTTTTCCACAGCTGGAGGAGATAGAGATGTATGCACACATGGGTTACAGAATGTACCTTAAAAAGACAAATCTGTTAGCAATAACCAACTTCACAAAGAACAATTAATTTAAACTAAATATTTTGTAGATTTCCACCCTCCATGTCATTACATCAACAGATATTTTTTCTTCTCAGACCACAGAATTAAAGACTATGTAAACGATAAATGAAATATGAAATGTGTATTGTCAGGCATGGAATGACACAAGCAAGAACAGATAAAATAGAATGGATACAAGATAAAATAATAAAAGGGGAATGCTTGTTACAATAAAAATCTCCCTTTTCAATCACCCTTTGTTTTCAAAGATGGGAAAATATAAAAATAAAATCTGCTTAATTTGGTTTACAGCTGCCAATAATTCTGAAAGCACCTGGGAAAAAATCTCGCTTTTATTAGCACACCTCTTGTACCTCTTGCTTTCAACTTCTTTTCCATATAGGAATTTTTAATCTAAAATAACTAACTTCATTTGTCCACTTGTTGATTCACAGATTCTTGCAACACTTTTCTATCCCCTACTGTTGTTCTGCTGTTTTCCTCATGTCAATTGAGGAACTACTGTTCCTCAAATGACATGAGGAAAAAAAATAATGCAGCGTGAAAAAACTGATTGATACCAGAAGCAAACTTTGATACGTATTATTGTTCTCATTTTTGCCACTCTCTTGAGCCTCGTCTAAGAGAGAAGCAAAGGTAAGTAGTCAATCCAGCCTCCTTTTGTAAAGTCTGGAATCTAATCTTGGGCTTGCTATCTGAATATCCACTGATACCCACTGAGGCAAATAAATGGCTGCACAAGAAGTTTACAGAAGCAGTGGCCAAGAAAATACAGCTACATTGAACAACTCTGTCTATCGCTTCCTTGTGTTATTGCGGAAGAATACTACCCCTAATAAACTCCACTGCAATATACTTGATTTTAGAAACAAAGATTATGTGAAAGTGTTAACACATGTATTTTTAAACAGTGCTGCATATTTTAAGAAATGGATAAGGACTTCTATTGATCAAGTTCTGCTTTTGGCTTTTAAGCTCTAGGTCAAGGGAAACATAAACATTTTAAATATCCAGCCCCCAAGAGATACAGTCGCTATGTCCGGGCACCTGGCAAATGACTGAAATGAACCCCAAAGGCTTTAATGGATGCACAAAAATGTATCAAGATAAACCCAGACAGCCCAATGAAAAACACCTGCCTGTGTGCCAGTCAATGAGGAATTCATGACTTACAGTATTAGCATATGCATCCTTGTGCTATTCAGAAATTCTTCAAAAGAATAAAAGGTTGAGATTAGCTGCTAGGAAATCTGACAGTTGTAACATTAAAAACACGGCATTAAAATGTTTTATTCCAAAAGCTCAGGCTGCAAAGAACAAAAATATCCCATTTGTCCTGCTGTATAAGCTTTGCTTTTCTGCAGTAAATTACGTCTCTGTTTACATAATGTCTCTCCAGCTCAGTTTCATCATTATCCATCATAGTGTAACTATTTATCAGCCTTTAAACAAGCAAATGAGTGTGTTTGTATAAGGAAGCCAAAGTGCAACTAATGACAGTCATTTTTCAATTTATGGAGGGTTTTAGGCCATGTGATAGTTTCCAGACCTCCAAGCTGCCCCTGGCAGAAAATTCTAAGAAGATAGTTGCCATCTGAAGTTAAGCACCTTCAGAACATGAGCAACCTAGTTTTCAGCCATGCTGCAAACTCCAATTTCTTCCTTAAGCCTGTGCTGCCTAATGCACTGGCTTTTGGATTTATAACCAGCTGAAGATATGACTTCTGATGTCACAAAACAAGACAAAAAGTTACCAGAAATGTTGCTGCCTTTCATGGGGTCGTGCTAACATTTTCTTCACTGAAAATGCAGAGTTACAAACACTGCTTTAGCCAGCCAAATTCATTTGAATGTATTGGATATTCTGCATTAATATCTGATTTCAGAAAAAAAAAAAAGAAAAAGAAAGAGAGAAAGAGAGAAAGAGAGAAAGAGAGAAAGGGAGAAAGGGAGAAAGAGAGAAAGGGAGAAAGGGAGAAAGGGAGAAAGAGAGAAAAAAGAGAAAAAAGAGAAAAAAAGAGGAAATAGAGAAAATAGAGAAAAAAAGAGAAAAAAAGAGAAAAAAGAGGAAAAAGAGGAAAAAGAGGAAAAAGAGGAAAAAGAGGAAAAAGAGAAAAAAGAGAAAAAAGAGAAAAAAGAGAAAAAAGAGAAAAAAGAGAAAAAAGAGAAAGGCCTCATCACTGTGAATTCAAACCTCTTTCTTACAGTGAAAGATGTGGTAGAGGAATTTCTTTGTAAACATGATTTCTGACCAACATCTGTCTTGCCACAGTCCAATATTCCTATAAAAACTGCTCACAGGACTGATTTCTTGGTCAAATGTTCTTCACATATCTTTTCCCTTTCAGGCAATTCTTGTATGTTTGTAAGCAGCACCTAACATCAGAATTATTTCATTATGTATCTGGGCACTTGCAGTGTAGTATCACATCTCTCCTGTTTTCTCTCTTTCTCAGCTTCCTTTAACAAAGTGTCTCAAAGAGAATGCCTCTATTGGGAAAGAGCCACATTCACAAAGATACATTTTTCTCATTTCTCAATTTGGCTGCATTCCTATTTGCTGTCATGCCTATGGACTTGGTAACAACTGAGATTGGAAAAAAAATTAAAAAAGAAAATCCTTTTCATGTCCCTCAGTGTAAGTTTAAAAAGCCCATGCTTTTACACTATATCAATGCCTTCACTGTTCTTTTGCAAGTCTTTGAAAGTCTCTGTGCAAGAGACTTACCTGCCCTAACATAAACTAACAAGATGACAGCCGCCATTCAGCCGCCAACACATGACCCCATCACCATTCCACTTCAACACCAACACCTCTAAAACTCTTGCAGCTGTCTAGAGTTTTCTGTTGCATATTTTTGCATTTGATCCCTCTTCTCATGCAGTAACCACAATCCCATTACGCAGTTTTACACCTTGATGTTCTCACCTTTGTACTTCTGTACTTCCTACAATCTCTATGTATTTCTTAGTATAGAAGTATCATATTAATTCCTAGAGACTTTCTCAGCTCTGTATCTTTTGAATTTCTGTGCACACTGGAAGTATTTTACATTAACTACATAGCTGCAAAGCAGTAAGGACATTTAAGATGAGATGGAAGATTATTTTTAATGTAGAGAAGCACTGATTCTCTGCAAGTTATCCATTCAGTGTTGGGAAGATATTTCTATAAATGGATAAAATCATATGAATTAATGAGTTGCAGAATGTTAAAGGATTAAAGGCTTTAAAACTAAGCTGTGTTTTGTTTTACAGCACCATAGACCATCCACTAGTGCAGACAGCCTAATAGGTAAGTAATTTGGCTCTTCCACTGACTCCTGGTAGACTTCTGTAGCCAGCATCATGGTGTTCCCAGAAGAGCTGAATCCCTGTCCCAGCCTGCACAGCCTAGCCATAAATCCAGCTTTCACTGGGGCTGTACCAACAGCCTGCAAACGCTCTGAAACACGGGAAACAATCTGCAAGAACAATTTCCCCCAGGAAGGCAACACCAGTTCTACATCAACCAAACTTTCATAATGTAAATAATAATGTATAAGTAATCATGGATTACAGCATTAAATGCCTCACTCCTAATGCAAGTTGTGAGGCAAAGTTCATGAATAAATGCTTTCTCTGGTTTGACAAATTGTCTCAAGAGGGGAAAAAAAAAGTTTAGTTTAAAACACACAAGAGTATACTGCTCTTTTTCATTTACTCAGACTAGGATACTCTAAATTTTCAGCTCAGTTATGTTTCTCTTCACATGACTTTTTCCTTGTATTAGTAAGCTCCCACAAAGCTTACTATAACAGTACTCTAATATTAGAATGAACACAATTTAGGGGACAAACCCATTATTTTTCGAATAAAGACAAATATTTCATCACCAAATAAATGCTGCCAGTGAGAAAGACAATGAGGTGTTCGACTTGAAGCACTTTACTTACTTGGAAAGTATTTCTTAGAGTGGCCTAATAATTCCAATAGGAAAGTATTTTGCTAGTCCCAGCCCTTTCTCAGATCAGGCTCAGTTGTGGAGTCAGATCTGGCTACTCCAGGCTTATCCTGTCAGGATTTCAAAAGCTCTAGACCATCATCATGGGAAAAAAAAGAGAAGGTTTCCTGCTTGTTTGTGTATTTGCTCTGTACAAAATGTTTTGAAGTTGATTTTCTTTTCCAAAATTCCACAATAAGCCATGTAAGCCCTATGGTCTGAAGGCTGTCCAAACAGCCCCAGTGAAAGCTGAGTTCATGTCCTGACTGTCCAGGCTGGGACAGTGGCTCAGTTCTGCACTGGTAACAGCAGTACTGGCCACTGATGTGAATCAGAAGCAATACCATTTGGAAGCTATGCGTTGGATAACTGGGGAAATGAGCGCTCAGGAAGCAAAGACAAGGTGGGATTTTTTACAATACAGTGTCTTTTCCAGATTCGGTTTTAACGTGAAGTCTTTGAGAATCAATGAAAAATGTGAAGTGGATAGGGTGTTGCAATTCCTGTATCTTAGCCTCCTTCAAAATTATTTCTCTATGTAGATAAAAATTTGGCTCTGCTACCATTCTGAAAGCATGCTTTGGTTCCCTTTGTAGAAAAACGAAACTTGGGAGGCAACAGTACTTTAAATATGAAGGGTAACCAATATGCATCACTGTGTGTTATAAGATGAAATCTGACAAAGCTACCAAAATTCATCTTTAATTAAGAATGTCCTTAACCAAGATTTTCCTTTTCAATGACCTCTCAATAGTTTACTTTTTCATCTTTACTCACAATATGGAGCCTGAACTAACAAAGCAGTTAATGCTGGAGCTTCCAAAATATTGTTAACATGCTTAGTAGAAAAATTTAACAAGTGGTTGCAATCTTTTAGAAGTGGCAAAAATTTTCCTCTTTACAACATCTCTAAAACATAATAAAACCATCTGTGCTAAAATTGCATCTACTTTGTTGACCATGCTTACTGTTTAATCTTCACAATTTTCAATCCAATCCAGTACCTGACAATACCACCGAAAGCCAAGAATACTTTCTTTGCTCTTACCATTGCATAACCTTTCAATAAATTTGCAGCCTTTTTGGTTTGGACACTTTCATATTTTACGCATTCTAAGACTTCAGAAGATTCAAGGAATATATTATGTTTTTCTTCAAAGTGGGCTTTCCATTGATTTTTTATTGTCTGCTTCCCATGGGAAAAAACCCACTTCAACTGCTTCTGAGACAAGGCTGGTCAATTTAAGGAAAGAAGCAACAAGATTTTTATCAAGTGACAGTACACAGCTATGTCCATTCTCCCATCCTGCTTTCATAATTATTGATACAGCATGTTAAGAAACATAACAACAAACTGGCGAAAAATATATCTCAGGCATTTTTTTTTAAATTTGTCATTTAGAGAGACAACACAGTTACACACTTAATATTAAATACCCAAAACTGCAGTGTAAGAGGTAAAGGACTTCTATGGACTATACAGGCTTGAAGGCTACGAAAATTGATAGCAGAGTTTTTAACCAATAACCTAAAAGTGATTACAGAGTTTTAAATGAAGCAAAATAGAAATAGATGTGACTTAAGAATTTCAATGAGTGCACTGTGATAGTGCATGATAATGCTTCTCACCTGCTGCAGTACATGTCTCTCTCTCAATGTCATTAATCTTCTGTGGAGCTCTACTAGTTCATCAAGATATGCCTAGAAAAAAATTCCCCCCCATAAACAACTTGTTAATTAAGTCATAGCAATGTATTCATAAACTTCAGATGTCTTCAAAACCAGTATAGAAATCTCATTTTAAATCTTGGAATCAATATCTTGAGCTGGAAGAGACCCAGAGGGATCACTGAGTCCAGCTCTTGGCTCTGCACAGGACAGCGCCAAGGGTCACAGCATGTGCCTGAGAGCATTGTCCATTCTCTGAGCTTCTTGAACTCTGTCAGGCTGGTGCTGTGACCATTTTGCTGGGGAGCCCATTCTGGGGACTGGCCACCCTCTGGGTGAAGAACCTTTTTCTAATATCCAGCCTCTCCTGACTCAGCTTCAGGCTATTGCCTTGGGTCATGTCACTGGTCACCATGGAGAAGAGATCAGTGTTGCCCCTCCTCTTCCTCTCAGGAGGTCTTCCCTCAGACAATGAGTTCTCCCCCTGCAGTCTCCTATTCTCCAGGCTGGACAGACCAAGTGACCTCAGAGGCTCCTTCCCCTCTAGGCCTTTCCCTATGTTTGCAGATCCCCTTTGAATGCTCTCTAATAGCTTTAAATCCTTCTTACAGTATGACACACAGGACTTGAGATAAGACCAAACTCTTCTTTGAAGTGTATTTTTATTAATAGTCTGGCATTCTCTAGCTTAATACAACAGAAATATAATTTTTTGTGTTTTTTTAAGATACTTCACACTGACAGAAATCTTCATAGGTGGTCATTATTTGCTGATAATCTCTGTATCTCAACTGTGCCAGAAAGCATCATAAGACTGGGGATGCCAAAACAGCATCTTTAGAAAACATATTCCATCTTTCTACATAAGAACCAAACCCAAAGACTCAAAATCAAATCAATCATTTTCTCTAGAGGTACGTAATTATTTCTTCTGTGTCAACGGGGAAAGAAAGACTAAGCAAGATAAATCCAAAGGTAAGTTCTAGCACTTCTGCCCTGGGATGTTAAACATGTCTCGCCTCTCCACCTTATTATCAATTTTCTCCTTCAGAAATGGCTACTGAGCCATTAAAAACTTTTTTTTTTTTTTTCTGCTTGTAAGCAGAATGAGATATGGCACTCAACCTAAGCAACCAAAATGCAAACCAAAATATCAGAGCACTAAAAATCTAGGTATTGCAGATAAAAATCTAGACACTAAAAATCTAGATGCTGCAACTTCCATCTTTTGCCTTAAATTATCATCACAAAATTGACACTAATACCAGTAAAATACAAGCGTTCAGAGAAACTTGTCCATAGTGGGCAATTGTGCTATGTTCGCTCACGGAAGGATTGAGAGCTCTTGCCCACAGCCATTAGACAGATGTAAATCAAACTATCTCAGTGTTAAACTGTTACAGTTGCTTCATGTCATTTTAGTTAACATGCTAAATCACACTGCCACTGCCTAATGCACAGCCTTCAGAAAGGATTCTGGAAAATAGATTTTCTTTTTTCCCCTGATTCATTTGCGGGCTAGGAATACATCTGTGAATTTTCATCTACATCTCATTCCTCTGTGAAGCACAGCACAAACTTATGGTGGACAGTAGATAAAATAAATAGATGGAAGAGTCCCAACTGGTGAAATTTGCCAAATCACCTGATTGAAAAGAAGGAAAAAAATTCAAAATATGAGAGAAGATACAAGAATTATAGAAAGAAAATATAAAAAGATCTGCATCTAAAGGAATTCAAAGCAAACATGTATTAAGATTTTCATTCTGTAACAAAGGTTGGTATTTGGTAAGCACATATTCTGGAGTAGTTTATTGCTACAGTAATATAGTATTTATTGCTATAGTAGTATCATATTCTGTAGGACTTTATTGCTCCCTCATTGTTATTTACCTTATCACAATCCCCATTCTTCATTTGTTTATCTGTTTTGTTTTGCTTTATTGGACTTTTCACTTCTAAAATCTGGAAAATAAAGAAAATTCTGTAAAAATTAAATGCATCACCGGATATAACTCTATGTGGAAAAATTCTGCTGTTAATAAAAAACAAACTCAAAACTGAGCTTTTCATTCTTTAATGCATAGAGCTTACTCATACTTTTCAGAAAAAACAGTAACTTACAGCAGAAAAAGCCAACATACTGGAATGAGGTGATAATGATATTATTAATCCTTAAACACTTAAAGCCTTCTCAACACTTTTTTCCCCCTATCTTTGACATGCAGGGAGGATAAGAGGTGATTTGGCAGACACAAAATGATGCTGAGAGTGTCTCCAGTGCCTTTGAAATGAAACATTATCACTGTACTTTTCCTCTTCCTTTTTTCCCCCCTCAATACTATCTCTTTTCTTTGACAGCAGAGGTTTTCAAACAGTCCTTGACTGTTTGACTGTAACAGTTATAACTGAAAAATGAAGTGATGGGCAGTAATTACTTTTGCACTTATATGGTACCCTTCCTTAAATGCCTCTCACACCCATTTATTATCACTCATACAAGCCAAGATTGCTTCATCTGATACTGAAATAGATTCAAGAAGAGTACATCAACAAGCAGCGGGACACCATGCTTGATTTGAAACTTTTAGAACTAAAGGCAGAAATATTTGGGGGAAAATGAACTGTTGATTGTTCTTTCCATTTTTTCAACAGACAATGCTTTTTTAAAGTTAAAAGAAATATCACCATATCATTCCTAACCTAGAATATAGCCAGTTCTTCTGAAAAACATCAAAGAAAACTAAGTAATCACAGATAATGGGAGATTATGTTTCACATTTCATTTTAAGTGAGACTAACATCACCAGCATGATTAACCCCAAAAACCATACCCAACAGCCACAACACAGGATAAAACTCAGTAATTAAAACAAGGAAATAAAGTGTGTAAGAACAAGTCCTCTACAAGCCTTACTGACGTTTTCCCCCAAGTACTCTCTCGTTTCTCCTTCCCTTGGTACAAATGATTAAATTGCATATGTCTTCCCCAGGCTGGACAGCATCTTAAAAACACAGCTGGCAGACAGCTATTTTCCTACCTAGAGAAAGTGACTGTAGATCTGAGTTAACCTTACTTGATTTAATTAGCCAAGAGTGATGAATGTTCAGATTCAAAACATACATTTTTGAAGAATAATTCTAGTAATTCTGTTCAACACCCTCTAGGGTTTTTTCTTGAAAAAACCCCCACCCAACCCTACAAAAAACCAGGACTTCAATCATGGATTCAGTACCTTTTAGACACATTTATAATTTTCACAGGAAGAAAATTCTTGGTTTCAAATAGAACTTTGTCAAGAACACAGTGTATTTAAAAAAGCAGTTTCTTTGCAATGCTCTTGATATGCAGTTTAAATTTAACATCTTAAGCACTTTATAGATGAGATACAGCACTAATCATGTCTGAGGAAGCTAATACAAATACAAACTCTGTCTTAGCTCTTCAGTTCTATAAAGGAACTTGGTTAACACAAACCTGATTTCATCAGTAAAAGATCATCCTGGCAAGCAGCACTAAGGTACCAAGAAGAGATTTCAAATGTAGCTACAGTCCACACAATTTGAATTCTCACAATGCTTCCCAAAATTTCCAATTTGCAGCCTGATTATAAAATTTAGCTCACTTAAAGAAATGGAAGAGGGTATGTGAAGCTTTGTTTTTTTTTTTTAGTAGACACACAGCTATTGTTTGGAGTTTCTAAATGTGGAGATAGACCTTCTACTACATCACCAACGGGCAAAGGGACACAAAAGATGTGACTGAGTGGGCTGCTGATATTGAGACTTACAATTACTTAACAATTGCATTGGCTCTTTAGAAATCAGTCTTCGTTAAACAACAAGCCAACAAGACAGATTTTTTATTTTTCTTGTGCTTATGTGGTCAGTAAATGCAACATTCTTCACCCCTGCAGACAGCTTTTTTACTTCAAGTCTATCTCTTAAAAAAAACTTGTAACTTTTATATAGACAACTTAGAAGAGCCTACAGTGGTAGAAACTATGAATATTTTCTGGACATGAAATTACTGTCTCTCTGTGCACAAAGTACTTCCTAGTTTGTGGGTTTTTTCCCCCACAATGTATTTGAACTTAGCTAATATTTGGAGTTTGTACTATAGCTTGTGCTGGAAATCTTAATAGAAAAATAAAGGCAAATAAATAATATCTGCCAGATAATTGAAGCAATTATAGAAAACAGATATATAAAAGACCCACCTATTAAGCTCACCCTCTAAACCACAAACTTGTGTGCATATAGACACCATTTTAAATATATCACAAGTGTAAGTAGCCAGTATGTGTCCTAACAGCTTTACATATGATGCAATTGATGCTGGGAATGAATCACGTCTCCTTAAAATAACTGAAAAATGGTGTATTTTATTTTGTAAATAATGTGAGTTTTTATATACTTACTGTGGGAGAGGTACTTACTATCCAAAAGCTAATTCTCATTTGTCCCTGGAGTATTTTGCAACTCTAGGTAATTTACTTTATTTTCTTTGAAAAACCAAACTACCCTATGTTGCTACCTGAGAAATAACATTAGCTCTTAAAAATCTAGAACAAGTACTCTGATCCAAAGTAAAAACTATTGTGTCTTCTACTGCAGTAAAAAAAAATACTGTATCTTTCTAGATGAACACTGGTGGGAAAAAGGAGAAGAGATGCATCAATAAACTCTTGAGACTGATGCTAACTCTGTCTGCTGCTTATACAAATCCGAACTGCATTTTTTACCTGGCTGTTGCTGGTTTTCAGTACAGATGGTGCTGGATCATGACGCAGCGGTGAGGAAGCTGAGCTGCTATCACTGTCACTGCCATCACTCAGACTAACCCTGCAGAAAAAAGAGCCACAGCATTACATCTGCAGACAAAGGGCTGTCAAATGGGGTGAGCCAACCTTGGACTTTGAGGTAGAGACTTACAATGACCAATCCCTTGCTAAGCAGGCTATTGTTCATCAAGGTCACATGGAAGAGAGGCATCTGAGCAGGGCTGCACTCTGGAAAAAACTCTTTGTAGCACAAAGAAGGAGGCTGCCTGTCTGCACTTGGCTGAGTTAAAGTAGCTAAGTTTACAGAAATGGTTAAACACCTACAAAATTCAACTGCTTCTCCCTATCTCAGTTCACAGCTATGTCAGAGAAGGAGAGTGGCCTTTAGGGATTCTTTTCTGCTCTCCTAAAAGCTTTCCAAACAGCTGTACATCCCACCTGAATACATGTTTTACTGAAAAGTTCCTTGTTTATTGTCAAAAGTTAACACAGCTTTTCCTGATTAAAATTAAAAAACTTAGCATCTCAGAAGAGGTCACAAAAAAAGCCCAGCTCCTAGTCAGTTTCACCTTTCATTCACTTATGAACAACAGAGAATATTTTTTGTTGGGAAAAAAACCCATTAGTTAATTGGGACAAAATGAAGTAGAAAAACAACAGCCTTAAAGTTCCATCAAAAAACTGAAACAAAATCTCCACACGAGGAGACAAGCTGAGCTTGAAACAATCCTTTACACAATCACTGACAACAAGTTCTCAAACAGCTAGTCATCTTGGTCTTTTTCTCCTTGATTCCAGCTGCTAAAATACACCAGGGAAGCAGCTGCATTCATTAAAGTTTTCCTGTTATCTTCCCATTCGAGCAGTAGCTGACACTGCCACTCAGGTGCTGTGCTCTAACAGGAAAATCCTCTGAATTACATAAAGAACCTAATATGTAGAATGTTTGAGAGACGCAGTTTCAGTTTCTCCCATAACTTTGAACATCATTTGGATGGAGCTTCAAGCTGCCTGAACACCAGATGAGTTTTGGGATGCTTCTGAAGGTTGCAGCAAGGATGCAGAAGCTTCTTTTAAAAAATAAAAAATTAAAAAAGGTTTTTGACAGATGCTTGCTTTACCCTCTGATGCATTTTTATGCATTATCTACTCTATTCAGCACAGAATTTACTTGAAATTCAAATTTCATTGATTTGGATTCAATTTAACAGCTTAATGTAAAACTAGTAAGCAAAGAGGTCTTGTGACTATGTATGGAATAGCTTATTCAACAGTTGAAGGACAATTTTCTCTAATTTAGGCCAGGGAGTAATTATAACTCCTCATCTCAAGTCACAATCGCATGAAATTGAGTAAAGTCAAGCAAATGAGGATCATCATAACCATATTGATAGTACAGGAAGAGTTTGTATCAGGAACGGCTAGTTGTGTTAGTGTTTAAAAAGGGCTCTTTTATGTGCAGATGCTTTAGAAAGAGTGACTTTTCTGCCCATTTGCTACTCAGCACTCTGAGAACATCGGACCTTACTTTGTTACTAACAAGCACTACACGTCTTGGTCAGCAGGCCACTTTCAATCACGAGACACTCACCTGCGACTCCTGCCTCCTCCTCGTATATTTACAGGTTGTTCCAACTCAGAGTCATTGTCCTTGTCATCTGCTTCATCTGATTCATCTTCATTATCATCTGAATGCAGATCTTTCATTATAGTCCTCAATGGACCTAAAACAATAGAGACAATAAAAATCAACGAAGTTTACTTCCCAGTATTTTGGGCAATTTACCCAGCTTTAAAAACTGTCTTCCCCACATAGTGTTGAGAGAGGAGAGTCTTAAAAATTAAACAAACTAAGTAATGCACTGGGGGATTATACTGCAGGTACCTGTCCATATATTCATGAATCTTTACTCACATGAGCAACTCTGTCAGCTTCAACAGACTTACTCTTGACAATGAAGTGACTCACATGTTCAAGTGTTAGAACAATTTTCACCCTGGACCACAGCTGAAGTAAGTAAAATACTGTCACGACAGGAGAAATTGACATGAAATGTATGATTACTAAAAGCATGTTTCTTTTGTATTGCTGGGGTTTAGTATTTTCTGCTTTTTCATTATATGTGAGTAAAGATCTACAGGGACATATTGATCAGTATTAGTACATTTGTTAGGTTAATCCATGTATGAGAGGTTGGTTCTAACAAATCACTCTGATTAAATTGTACTGTACAAGGCAGTCATTTTGTCTTCTTGGTTTCTATGTATATTACCTTCAGCTGTTCCCATTATTTCAGGGTCAATTTCAAGTGAAGTAACTACTTCACCCATGTTGATAAGTATGAAGCGCATCAATACTATCCAACACCATGTTACCATTTTTCCTGTATTAGCAAGAAGGTACGAAGCTTAACTTGCTCACAAAACTGCACTGAACTCAGTTGGGGTTTTGATTTTCACTCTTTTTACTCTAAGAGACAGTTACAGAAAGAAAAATATGTTTAATAGAGCGGGGAAGTGTCACACTACAGCTACTTGAAATAAGAATGGGCAAAAGCAGATTAGAAGAGGGAAGAAAGTAAAATGTCCCAGTGCCATAGAACATTTAACTATGATGTATAGCCCATCTATGACATGAAGCAGCAGTTGAAAGCACCAGTGATGGCTGTAAGAACAGCAATTACTATTATGGTTGCAATTCCTTCAGCCCAAGAAACACAGTACTAACATGAACACATTGAGCCAGAGATGAAGCTTTCAACTCTTTATTTGCTATGGCAAAACTGAGTCAAGGACTGTCCTCCCTGGTCACTGCCAGCAGAGAAGGGAGACATCTGTCAGTCATACTCACAACAGGGTAATGAGTATGACAGTGCTCCCTTCATGGGGGAGGGCAGTTTTATGGACTGTTCCAGACATAGCAAAGTTCAGGCCATAGGCATTTTGACTAGTTTTGTGCAAGTGACTTCCAAGCTGTTGTTTGGAATGATTTATCACTAAGGCTGCCCTAGAACCTTCTGTAAATTGACACAATTTGGACAGTTCAGAGAAATGAGCCTTTTCTCTGTTTTCACACCCTAGGAAAGAAAACCATGGCCAAGTTCCTGGTTGACCAGACATTTTTATAGGTGACAGTATGGAAGTACATCTTGTCCATGCACCCACAGCTGATATGTAGAAGCAGCAGAGTTGTGCTCCATTTTCTGTCCCTGTTTGAATCTCAGGAAGACAATGCTCAGTTGCAAATGACAACTTGTAGTCTGACTGAATAACTTACCATCTGACCCTTGAAGGAGGGAAAGGGCTTTTACAGAAGCAGTAATAAAGAGAAACTTGGACTCCTCAGATACACCCATCACTGACAGCCCCATCAGCATTGAACAACTTGTCATTCAAACAAGTTCTCACTCAGTGTAGGAGCATGTCTGGGAGTCTGAAAAGCACATTGCTACCTAACTTTTCAGCAGACTTTTCTACCAATCAGCAAAGCATTAATTTTTAGGTCTTCTTTTTTTCCTAGCATGGATAGCACATGCTTCTGCTTCTTGCACACTTACTCTAAAATTCCATAACCACCTTTTTAAAGGTTTGTGAAGTTGTTGCCTCCTAAGATATCAGAATAGTTAAAGAGAAACTGAAAATTAGGAGTTGCCCATGAGCAAGTTTTCTTCGTAAGGAAATAGATAAATATCAAAGTAAGCCCCAAGGACAGAAGAACTTGAGGAACCTCAAGTTAGCCCACTGTTTATGCAAAAAGAGGTGAAAAAAGTTCATGCTGTGGTTTTTTCACACATGAGTGAGCACTGGAGTCTAAATGCAACCGAAAAAGAGCAACAGTCCTAGCAAGTAACTTCCAGGTAAGGGGAAAAGCATGGCTTCTGACCAGATCACAACATACATCGTGAACATGCCATGGTATGCCTGGTGCTCCATACCTTTGATATACAAATGCATGGCCTGGACAATAAACATGCTTAGTTTATTGGGGTTTCTGCAACTCCCAGAAGGAAGCAGAAACCACTATTTAATGCTGCAAAAAAGAGAAGATGCATAGACTATTTGCACTTCAGAGCTGTTGACACTGGAGGACAAATCTCCCATCTATTCTAGAGAAGAACTGAAAGACAATCTGTGATACCTCTTGTATATGATCCAGAAAAGATGGATGGGACCAGTCTGCTCAGAAGAAACTACTAAATTTTTTCCCAGCAAAGATAACAGATGCAGAAGTGGGTATCTAAGTCTTTTGGCTTGTAATGGACAGTTCACACCACTAATGTTTTTGTGAGAACAAAAATAGGAGTTCAGCAGGAAGTGTATCTGTTTATTGTTAGGTAAATATTAACTGCCTGAAGCCAGTCATTACCACCATTCATTTCAAGTTTTTGCCTTCTTTCACATGGGATAACACTGCCAGAAAACATCAGAATATCAGTACCAGTCACCTACAGAAAGGCACTAGGATAGATATGCATCACATAATCATGTACAAATCTATTTAAAGTCAGTGTGCCTGAGGCACTAATGTATTGTCATAACCCTAAATCAAGTTTACCATTGAGGAATATAAATGGCTAAAACAAACCATTTTGTTAAGTCAAAGACTGCTTTTTTAATGCTCCTTATCCAAATAATAAAACAAAAACTTATTAAGAATGTATCGGTTGTACAATCTTATAAACCAGGGAAGGAAGCCAACCAGGAACTAAGTAGTTTAATAGATCATGGAGAATGAATATCAACTTATTTACAGAAAACGTGCCTTGGCAAAGCGTTCAGGAAGAAAAATGCATTCTCCATTGAGTTTCAAGTAAACTGAAAGTATTATCCAGAAAACCAAAATTCTAACTTTAAATCTAACCATCATCCTTCCCTGCCATGTATTTGAAGTAAATATTGTGTGCTCTTAAAACTTCCCAGTAGTATGGAATGCTCAGAGCCTTTGAAAGGGTTTTAATAAATACATCTGTGGGTTTCTGTTGGCTGCCCATGGGAAACCACACTTTTCTAGGGCTTCAGATGGAGCCAGGTGCCATGCTATCTAACCCTGCAGAAGGACAACTCAGAAAGACAACCTCTATTGGGTTTATCCTCTGTTAAGTGACTGGCATGTATTCAGTCCTTCAAAACAACCAATAATCACACTCTTTTCTCAGATTCCCAGTTTCTTTCTCTCCTTTTATTTTGCCCTTAAATCCACATCTGAAAACAACCTGCAGGAAAGTCTCTAAATCAAAACTGTGGCCAGTTCAGGCAGTGAAACACAGAAGAAAAGAGGTCATGAGATGCCATGAGTTCTGTTTTTATTGGCCCATTCATTTCACACATTCATTTCAATTTCTTTTCTTTTACTGATACCTTGTTGTCTGTTGTTTTGAGATGGTGTAAAACTGGAACTGGAACTGGAGCTGGAACTGGCAGGACTGGGCTGTTCAGACTTAAAAGAAAAAAAAAGAAAATAAATAACATTTTAAGAGAAATTCTTTTGCCTGGAAAAACTCTTATGGTTAGTTACTGCCTAAAACATTCTGTCAAGAAAAAGAAACTGTGGAGCCAAATAGTACTCAAAGACCTTAACTTCAGGTGTCAGTGAGGCAAACATTGTGGAAATTACTATTACACTCACCATACACACACACTACTACATCATGTCTAGTTCTTTGCTAAAGTCTAACAACTAGTTTCCAAAGCCTTGTTTGAAAGATTATACAACATGAAAGCCTAAATGCGTTTATAATGGACCTACGGCATCTCTGTCATACTGGAAATGCAATGTTTTTCAAATTAGCAATGACATTGTGGAATTGAAAAACAAAAGACCTGAGCAGACCACACTAAATGCCAGAAAACCTCAGACAGTTTTCTTTTATCTCCCTTAGAAAATAAGTCTCAATATAGGGATTCAAATGAAACTTTAATTCTGTGACTGAAATTCTCCTAACCCTTTTCATATGTATCAAAACTCTGCAGACTGTAAATGTGATTGAATCAGAAGGTATGCTTGGTTACAAAGAGAAATTATCTAGAATTTACCAATTACAAAAGAGAACTGGATTTTTAAACAGGGCTATTAAAATCAGTGTGTATTATTTAACAAACAGTTCTACACAAATTTTTTCCTACTATTGTTTAAAATGTGTAAATTTCCCTTTAGTTTAATGAGGAAGTCTATTACTTCATAGAAAAATTCTGTACTCTTTTACTCCTCAGTACTGAAGAGTCTTGCTTCCTGCTGCCAGGTTGCATGTCTCTATATACTTTCTGGCTGATTCTTAGACTCAATGATACACCCTTGCACACTCATCTGTGTACATGAGACAAAGTATGAATCTGGTATGTGGGCAAAGGGGATGCTAACAGAGAACACAAAAGAAGTGGCCATACAGAAGGAACAGTGAAAATCAGATCAGAAAATAATGGCCTACTATTGAAAATTAAACCTGCTTACACTTGAAATTTTATACAACTGTGTATCATAATGTGTTATCCAGGCTAACCAACATTTTCTGACTCTCCTTGCCTCATGATTAAGACAGAACAAAATTGTTCTCAAAAATGACAGCAGAAATATCCTGTCTGTAAAACTCAGTTTTCACTACCTAAGCCTAAGAGTTGCTTTTTCCCCATAAATCAATCTATTGTTGCCCTTCATAATAGAGCAGGCAGATTTACTGCCTTTTGTTGCCTTTTCTCACGATGAGAGATGCCTATTTGGGCAACAGAATACTTGAGAACAACACCATTAACATCTGCTCTCCTTAAATCAACATCAGCTCCAGTTCTCACAGACACATAGTCAAAATACAAACTCTGTACCTGACTGTGTGGGTGTATGCCACTTATTTACAACTGAATTAATCCTGTGCAACAAAACCCAACCCAAAAAACAACACAACCCACTCAGAGTACCAAGAGAGATTCTTACACACTACACAGCATCAAACCTTTTTGAAACACACTGCAGCATTACTTGACACTGCTCTGAAAAATCAAGCATTTTTGAAAAAAAAAATAAAACATTTCCTTCCTAAATTTCTGAAAAACCTTACAAGATTTTTAGCTGTAAAATAATCATGATAATATGAAACAGACTGCAGTGATGAAGAACAAGTGTCCATGCAAACTTTAAAGACATCAGCAAACTAAGCTCAGTTGTCTAGCTGCAGGCTACTCTTAAACATCTGGTTTATCCATCAATTTCTGCTTCTTGCAGCAAAATTACTAGCTGAGAACTGGTTTCTGCAGATTTCCATTAACTGTATTTTTTCTTTATTAATTTCAGCATGAGCTTTAACTTACCTAAAATCCATTCCCTCAAAAAAAAAAAGCAAACACTAAAAGGCAGTCATATTTGGCTTTCAAGTGCTAAAAGTCTAAAAAGAAAAAAAATCAAATAGGCACAGAAACTATTTAACTATTACAAGTTCACTACTTTCTTTTTTAACTAGCTTGCTTGAAATGAAAAAAGGAAGAAAGGCCTAATCTCATTCTCATTATAAGGCATAAAAATACCAGTGAAGTTGCTCTGTACCAAAATTTTCTCCCAGCATTAACTAATTGGGTCAATATCACAAGAACAAATGAATATAGATACATACAAAGTTGTGCATTTTCCTAGTAAAAATTTTGCTCTGCTTTAGCAAGATCATTTTGACAAGTCAAACCACAAAATCTTAGGAAACACATTGATCATCTAGACTCATTTTAAAAGGGTTCCTAATAACTTTTGAAACTATTTACTTCATTTCCTTAAACATCCCAATCTGAAAATTTATTCCAAGGAATATAGATTAGCATAAATATTAAAACTGTTAAGTATTGGAAATGAAACCATTTTGGACTGAGAAATCTGGGTGACAACACATACAGAGGAAACAGTTGCTTTTAACCTAAGAAAGAATGTTATTAACAGAAAAGATTTGCCTTTTCAGAAGGAACTAAAAAGATGCCTTCCATATATGAATATGGACTGGTGCCAACAGCACCCATGCTTCTAGTTAACAGTGGGTGTCTTTTATCACTTAAGCAATGCTTTTTGACACTTTTACAGATTGTTAACTCATGGACTAAGGTATTTATGGCTTTATGCACTTAGGCTTTCTGCTCTTATTCACTGGTTCCTAATCACAAAATATTTCTTTTTTAATAGGTCTGAAATTAACTAAAGCCTATCTTTCAACAATAAAAGTTTAAGATAGTATCAGGGAAGAGCTTCTCTCATATGACCTTTTCCTGTTTTACCAGGTTTCTCTTTCTACAGAGAAGCTAATGAGAGTTTGGGCCTGAACTGTTCATTAGTGCAATGACCCCATGTGATATATTGCATTCTTAGTCTACTTTGTTTTAGTGCTCTCACAGTGATGCACAGTAGACAGTGACTTCTTTATTAGGCCTGATTGAGGGATCCTGTGCTTTGAAACTGTTCAGAAAAAAGGCAATTTTCCTTGGCCCAAGTTTTCCGTAAAAAAGGACCTTTTTTACCAGTGATTTTTCTAAATCACCTGGCTTCTGCCATTTTCAAATTCTTGTCTGCTTTTACAAGTAGCTCACTCTTGAGCTGCAAACAACTTTCAGGCAAACCCACCTGTTTATAGCAAAGGATATAATGGAGCTGTTTCTGTAATATTTTATGGTTGTCCCAGTTTGTGCAACTTCTTGGAGCTATCTGGTCCAGGGCCAGTAGCTGGACTTAGATGATCTTTGTGGGTCCCTTCCAACTCAGGATATGATTCTGTGACTCTAAAAATAACCTCCATCATTTCAAGCTCTGTATTAATTCTTACATTAAGAAATATAAGATATCTGTATGTGGGTGACAATGGTTTTTCTAGTCTTTCCCTGAAGCACTCTTGAAGGAAGCTTACAAATTGTTTCTTGAAGTAAACATGAAGTGGTGTAGCAAGATCTCATTTCATATTAGTCAGTCTACATATTTCTTATTTTTTATGCATGACAATGTAGAGATGTATGTTTCCCAGTGCTATACATACTGAGAAGTCTGTACACTTGAAACTACTTATACAGCTGAGCATTGCTTCCACTTCCACTTTGTGCAAATTTAGAATTTCAGGGAGGAGGAACATGCTCCTGCAGGACAAGCCTTTTTCTCTTACAGGCCTCCTGTACTTACAACATCTACCGCCACTTAAGTGACCCATCAGTGACCTCAGCTTTCAGTAGAATAATTCAACCTATCTGCAGCTCACACAAGAGGTTCCCACTGCACATCAGCAAACAGCTTTTCACTGCAAGGGTAACCAATCATAGGCACAGGCTGCCCCGGGTGATTTTGTCATCTCCCTCCCAAACAGATATTGAAAAGCTGTCTAGACAGGATCCTGGCCACCCAGCCCAAAGTGGCCCTGGCTAAACAGGGCTGAACAGGGCAAGCAGACCAGATGACACTCAGAGGTACCCTCTAACCTCAAGGAGTCTGTGATTCTTTGAATTTGAAACACAGCCTGAATTTAAACAGTAGCATCAAGAAAAGGCCTTAATCAAATCTTTGCAACTGTTTCCTCTGAACAACTGCACCAAATCAAGTGGGATTTGCATTTCCTTACAGACTGTCCTACTGAAACATGTTATTTAATTTTGAAAGAAAATCCTTTTCTTTCTGCATCGATGAATAGATTTTATTTTACCTATATAAATCAAAAGTAAATTTGAGACAATGCTAACATAAAAACTCACAAATAGTCTAGATTTAGAGAAGATTCATGAACAGGAGACTGAGTAAAAAATGTGGATAAAAATTCTTTTGCAGAACATCATACAATAAAATTGAAAGATGAAGCAGTAGTGATAATTGTTCTATAACCTGTAAGGTATTTTTCCTGAAAATACCTTAATGGAAAAGAGCAGCAGACACATAGTAAAGCAAGCAAAAAGTACAGGAGGGAAGATCAAGGTTTGCCTTGTAGAGTAGCTGAATACTACAGTTTCTATAGATTTCAGGACTGCAAGATAATGAGTAAACTAAGGATAAAATAAATTAAAATTGTGTATGGCCACATGAGTATGAACATGGTCCTTAAACACAAGAGGCAAACTGATGGAAGCTCTTATCATCAGATAAGCCTTACCAAGAAGGATAAAGACTGTCCTAAATATGTAGGTAATGCTGGCGAAGACAGGGTTATAACAAAGGCTTTTCAAAACTGGCACTAAATGCTGTTATTTAGACCACCAAAAATGTGTGAAAAGACATCAATATTTGTCAAGAATTTATAAAGTATGAGCAGTGCAACATGGGAAATTTAACAGGTCTGTATTCCATACAAGGTCTGAATTGGGAAAAATTCAGAGGCCAAACAATATAATATATACTTGTTTGGAAAGCAGTGCTCATTTTATAAGCCCAGTGGCATGAAAGCCCTTTGATGACAGGATAGCAACTGTCCCTCTGCACTCTTTTAACTATGGAAAGGTCAAATG